AACCGGCCCTTCTTCTCCAGAGGTCACACTCCTCTTTGGCCAGTTGAGGAAAGGGCAGCCTCAAACTTGCAGTGATCCTCCTGCCTCAGCCTCCCAAGTGCTGGGACTATAGGATGTGACCCTGCACTTAGCTTCTGGTTGGATGAATGGGGGAGATATCTAAGGAGTTAGTGCTTTGGAATGGAGGCCCTCACAAAAACAAGTGGCCCTGAGGTGATAAAACCAAGCTCAGAATGTCACTGAGAGATCTAGAAAGAAGGGAAACTCTGTGCACAGGGAAGTAACACAAAGGAAGGGACAACAGTCCCCTTGGCACCTCCTGGCCGGAGCTCCTTGGGCAGGCAGGACAGCAGGACCCATGACCCTCGGGTGTGAAGGAACCAGAAAAGGGAGCGGATGGACCCTTCTAGTCCAGGGTAGCGTTGGACAGGGGCCCGCAGGGGTCAGGATTCTGTGATCTGGGCGACTCACCCAGCCTCCCCACCTCTGTTGTCACCCAAACAAAGTCAGGCCGGGCAATACCGGGCCCCTCTGATTCTACGACTCCAGAACTCATTGTGATTGTCCACAGCTGGTCTTTTATCTGGGTTCTGAGCCATACCAGGGAGAAAGCAGGCACTGTGCCTTAGGAATCAGAGAGCAAATGTGTGACTTAATATTTCTGAGAGCCCAGGTATTTAAAATATAGAAGCAGCAGCCATTTCAGGGCATTTTAACTCATGACTGAGAGTAGCGTTTCATATTTGCTGTTTTTTTTTGGGGGGGGGTTGTTTTTGTTTTTGTTTTCAGTACCAGGGATCAAATTCAGGACCTTGCACTTGCCAGGCAGGTGAGACACCCCTGAGCTACATCCTCAGCCCCCAGAGTTGCTTTTTTTTTTTTTTTTTTACATTTTACTTATTTATTTGTTTTGACACAAGTCCTTACTATGTAGTACAAACTCGACTTGAACTCACTGTGGAGCCCAGGTTGGCCTTGAACTTTCTGTGATCTTCCTGCCTCATCCTCCCAAGTGCCGGGATTTCAGGCTTGCCCCACCACATCTGGCTTGCCCTTTACAATTACAAGTGATGCCTTTCAAGAGATTTCAACTGTTCATCTTTGACTCGGTAATGGCTATTGGAAAATTCCATTTACAGACATAATCCCAAATAAGGACCACGATTTAGTCACAAAGATGTTCATCTCATTGCGGTTTATAGCCAGAAAAAAGTCGGGAGTGATTTCTGCATCTGACGTATTGCCCTCTGCCAGCGAATAATCTGGAGGAACGCCCCGAATGTAACTGAGGGTCATCGCGGAAGGCAGATTCCAGTTCAATTGTGGAGCTTAGGAGAAAAAGGAAAGCTCCTGGATGGAAGACTGGAAGGAAATCTGGTTAGTGGGATTCTGGGTGATCCCCCCACCCCCGGCAGTTCTTCCTACCGCGGAATATTTGGCATCTATTCCTTTGAAGCCCTTTCTAAAAGCAGTGCGGAAATGGCATCCGAGGAAGCAGTCGGTGTTCTCACCGCTCCTTCCAGCCGCGCTGGGACCCTGATCCCTTTCCTGCCCTCCTGGCTGGCTGGGGAGGGTGCGGTGGCCGCAGGGTCCAGCTCTGCCGCTCTAGTGCGGGAGGAGGGAGCAGGAGGGCGCGGGCCCAGCAGAGAGGCCAAGCGGGACCCAGCGTCCCCCCGGAGCCCAGAGAACTTCGAGATGTGCCTAGGGGCCGATGGAGGCTTTAGAACAGATGCGGGGACGTAGGCCGGGCTCAGGAAACCCCACTGCCCTCTCTCCCCCAGGAGCTGTGGGGCAGGAGGAAGCCAGGGTCCCACCCAGTGCGTGGAGCAGACCGCAGACTTCCAGGTCGCGCCCTGCTCGGAGGGCGGGGCTGGTGTGCGTGTCCAGCAGGGAGCTCATGGCCTGCGTGGACAGGCACAGCCGGGTCCCGTGGGAAGAGGGGTCAGGAGCGGAAACCTCATGAGTGTGTGTCCATGTGCTTTGGCACACGTGTGCCTGCTCCCATGCCCACGTGTGTGCACACATGTGTGCGTGGCCTTGGCGTGATTAAAATGCTCAGGGGAAGAGGATTCCTCTGCCGTGCCAGTCCTGTCACTAAAAGATGGCTCCAGTGCCTGTTTCCAGTCTTGACAAAGTTCAGGCAGTTTCTATGCTCAGGGACTTCGTGTGGGCTCCTGTACCACGGTCTCCACGCACCTGATAAACTTAGTGGCTGAGAACACCACACATTCCTCCCCGGGAGGGCAGAAGTCGGGTCTCGGTTTCACCGGCCATCACGGTGTCAGCAGAGCCGCTCTGAGACTTTGGGCAGAGCCCTCTCTGCCTCTCTAGAGCCGTGTCCCTGCTGGCCGTGGCGGTGGCCGCCTCCTCCGTCCTCACAGCTGGCAGGCAGCACAGCATCCTGCTGGGGGGTCCCTTCGCCGCACCTGTGTCACCTCCCCCTCCCGCTCACAAGGACTTGTGATTATGTGTGCGCCACCGGCTGGTCCAGGGTGAGACCAGAGGATAAGATGTGCAGTGATGTCTCCAGAGAGGGGAGCTGCTCAGAGGGGAGGTGGCAGTGGCATCCTGGGGGCCTCCAAACGTGGATCCCCAGTTCCCTTCTCTGGCCTGTGCGGAGGGGACTGTGTTGGAGAGGTCCAGGCCTCCTCATCCCTGCAAGTGTCGCCTTGCAGTGGACTGGGCGGGCGGTGGACAAGCAGTGGCCAGACACACGTGTCCCAGGAAGTGGCACGGGACCCACCCTGACAAGGTGCCACACGCCAGACCTGGAGCTTTGGTGTCTGTAACTTCAGTGTCACCTTCCCAACCCCAGAGGCAGAAGCAGCTCTGACTTTTGCACATCGGCGATCTGTTTGGGATGTGCTCTCTAGAAGAACAGGAGGCGGATCCTGTCTGACTGCATGTCAGTCTGTGATACGTTTGCGCCTCTAAGGATACAACTTTGTTACACAGCCCAGTGTGGTGGTGCACACCTGTAATCCCAGCACTCGGGAGGCTGAGGCGGGAGGATCGCTGTGAGTTCCAGACCAGCCTGGGCTACATAGTCTCAACTACCTAGTGAGACTCTGTTTCAAAACAAACAAACACAAAAAACTAGTTTGTTACAGTGAAAATTACTCACAGGTGCACTAAATGTATCCCACAGATAAAGAATGTTAGTGGAAGATACCTAGAAGGGTCAAATTGAATTTCTAGTCTCAGTTTCTTGAGGAATCTCCATACTGATTTCCACAGCAGTTGCATGGAAGTTTATATTCCCACCACCAACATGGAAGGATTCTTTTTCCCAGCAGCCTCATGTGGAAGTGGCCTGTATGTCCACCAACAGATGAGTGGATAAAGAAAATGTGGTATTTGCACACAGTATAGCACTACTCTGTCACAGAGATAAACCTGGGTCATCTGTAGGATAATGGAGACCATAGTGCTAAGTGAAGTACATCACACACGCATGGTTCCTCTTCCAGGAGAAACCTGAATTGTAAATAAAGAGCAAAATAAAAGCCAGATAATGGGAAGCAGGGGGATAGGTCTTCCTCAGAGGAGAAAGGTGATCAAGAAGAGACGGAGGGAGGAGGAAGGAGAGGAGGAATAGGGGACAAAAAAAAAAAAGAATGAAATGTGTTCTGTACACAGACCAACTAGACACAAGCAAAGTAAACATTACATACTGCAAACATGTAATGATGCAAACTTTAAAAATAAAATTGATTCATAGAAAGAAAGCAATGTTAGTGGAAAAACTGGAGAAATCTCGGCAAAGCCTAGAATCCCGCTGGTAGTTAGGCAGCTCTGTCAGTTTTGACAAAGGAGCCGCGGTTATGTAAGATGTAACGGTAGGGAAACTAGGTGCAGAGTAGCTTGGGAACTCTGTTCTATCTTTGCAATTTTTCTGTAAAATCCAAAATTCTCCCAAAACAAAAAGACTTCTTCAAAAATTCTGTTCTCAAGTTTTAAACCCCAGCTACTATAGCAAATCCACAGTTCAATTTTTATTTTATGAAGGCCTAACACGATACAGTACATACATATACATACTCTTAAGCACTCAGCTTGTGGAATTTTGCACATGAAATCAGCCACGTGATGATCCAGATCACATGTCTTGTGAATGCCCCGCCCGGGCCTTTGCCTATTTTTATCGGATTGGTTTTTTTTCTTCTTGATTCACGGGAGTTCTTTACACATTCAGGTCTGTGTCACATCTTTGTGTTATAAATACCTTCCCCTTCCTACAGCTTCTTCACTTATTGGTGCCCAATGATGAGTGCTTCTGTTCAGCTTAATCGAACCAGTCATTGCTTTTCAAATCAGGCAATGATTCACATCGGAAGACCCTGGCCTTTGAAACCAGTTCGGACCAGGAGGCGCTCCAGACCCTCTGTGCCAGGCAGGGTGGGTTCTTACCTTCATGAGAACAACTGGAGGAGTCGGAAGGCACAGCCCTGGTGCCAGTCGGCAGGTCAGGGTAGGGGCTAAATCGGAGCTGTTGCCCCGCTTCCCTGACAAGAAAGCTCTGGGCCCTGTGAATGCCCCCAGGGTAGGAGGGGGACTTTGGGGCTCAGCCTCAGCCTCCACCCCCATCCCAGCTTCCTCTGAACAGCTTGGGGCTGGTTTGTTTTGTGAGATGGGGTCTGCTCATTCACATCTCTGGCTCAGCTCTCCTCGGGACACTGCGAGCACAGACTTGAAGGAAATGGATCAGACACGTGCTTTATTGGGGGCTGGTGTTCAGGCCAGCGAGCCCTGCAGCCTGACAGCCCCTGGGCAGAGGGACAGCTGCAGCTCCCTGTCAAGGGGCTCAGGAAAGCCAGGCTCTTTGGACCTGGGATGAAATTTGCACCTTCTGGAAAGATTAGAAAGATGAAGAGCTAAGGGGTGGCCCATGGAGGGACCCGGGAGGAGGCTTCCGAAGGAAGGGACAGGAAAGGAGGTGAGTGCATCCCCTCCGTCAGCGCCACAAAGCAGAAAGGGCAGCCACTGGCCAGCAGGCAGCGTCATGGGGCCCAGACCGAGGCGGGGAAGACCTGCTTCAGGGTGAACATGAGGAAGACCATCTCTCCATAGCTTTTCGCCTCTTACAGGCAGCCGAACTGAGGGGAGCCGTCGGGGCCAGGCCCCATGCTCTGCAGGTCCGAGTAGCCACAGCTGCCCTTGGCCAGCAGAGCCGGGCTAGACCAGCCCTCGGGATCCAGGGGCCGTGAGTTGAGGTAGGCACCCAGGTTGGACCTGTGGTGGGGATCCGTGGGGTGGGTGTACAGCAGCCACGTGCCCAAGGCCCCTGGGTCCTGCCCGGGGCCCTGGAAGCTGACCACGCTCACCTGGCAGCC